TATTTCCAACCATCTTTTTCCTTTAATTACACTCATGGTGAGTTTCAGTGTTTAAGTAAGTCTATTAGTACATTTTCATCCAGAAACTTTGACTAACTTCTTTGTCCGTGCAGCAGAAGGTCTCCCCACACCATGATGTTGCCTTCACTATGTTTCACCATAGGGACAGTGGTTTGCGGTTTATGTCCAATGTTTGTTTTCTTCCTCACATACTGTTTTGCATTTCGGCCAATAAAAGAACACTTTGGTCTCTTCTGAAAAGAGAACCTTTTCCAACACTTTCCTCCAGATGGCTACCAGTTGGACTGCCAGACCCGTGGAGTGATTGTAATTAATATCTGTCGAATTGACAGCTCTCCTACTTGAGCTGTTGACTGTTGCAGCTCCTCCAGTTATCATATGCTGCAATATTTCTATTGTCATATATTTTACAGTGCTTAATGAAAAGTTTAGGACTTTGCATCCTATTGTTGAATATTCATTAAATGCGCTGAATATATATGCAGTATGCAGTGTGTTTTTTCTATTTATGAAATACACAATTTTATCAGAAATGATCAATTTTGCTCTTTTTTTGTGTTGGTCTGTCGCACAAACTTCCAATACAATACAGCATATAAAAGGGGTAAAGATTATTTTGTAAGGCTGTGTGGGAAAGAAAAGAAAGGTTGTTTGTGTTAAAACATTGAAAGAGAAATGAGCCCCTGTTGTACTTCGGCCTCAAGCTGTAGCAGAGAGCAACATAATAGAAAATACAAACCCTCACAAAAAAGAAAGTTTTATGTATTTTCAATTGATTTTAATGTCTTCAAGAAAAAAGAGAAGAAAACAAAGCCTCAGTTTTCAAGTGTAAAAACTTACGGGGGAAAAAATCATGCCATTGTTTTCTTAACACTGCTTTTGAAGATTTTGCTGCATTTCTTACTTTTCTTTTTTAAGGGGGGGTATTGTTGTTATTTTCATTGATCTGGGAAAGATGGAGTTTCTGCTGGTACAGCATCTTAATACAATTCCAGCCTTTTCCCACCACACAGAGGTGTATTCTATATACCTTAAGTACATTAAAGTTATTGAAATCAATTCCATGTACGGTATATCCTTGACACTTCAGCACCTTTCCATTTCAGTAGGAGGAACAATCTGTGCTTGTGCTATTTCTCTAGTTGTTATTTTTATAATTTGTACAGTACAAGCAAACATAACTGATTTATTTTATTCAAACAATATAAAATCATTTCAATTGGATGAATGTTGTTTAGTCTAGACTGTTTATAGTTACATTCACAGCCTTATGCAAATAGATAATTCTCCCCTATTTCCACCCCTTTGTTTTTTTCAGATATTTAGCTTAAATGATGAAGTCAGAATAATGCCAAGGGTGTAGACATGTATTAAATACCTATACCAGCAGTTTACATCCACATGCATTTTAAATGTTCTATTCGTACAGATCCAATAGCATGATTCCCCCCAACATATCACAAGTACTAGTGCAGGCTCCTTTTCTGTGCTTGGTGCATTCTTTTTATAGGCCTGTAGATTCTCCCCTATTCGCATGTTGACCTAATTTTTATGCTGTTGTCAACTTTTGTCACTTTGGGGAGGGAACCAGTCTGAGAAAGTAAACTGTCTGTGATTGGTATTATGGCAGTAGCCAAATTGATATGTGTAGTTTAGTTCTATATTATCAATCTGGGATGACTGCTGTTCAGTCAGTGCTTGAAAGGGAGGTATGTTTAGTACAATACTCTGAGCTGATTGAGTGATGTGCCAGCTAGTACCTACCATCCATAATGTGCTTTTAGCCAATCGCAGCAGCAAATTGCGAAGTTTCAGATGCACGCCAGGAATGACAGGTGGGACATTTTTACTGAAATGTTGACCATTATTAGACGTTTACGGAGAAGTCTTCATGACATTGTGCAACGATTTTTGCAGAAGTTGCTAGACAAACCTGTGCATCAAAGGCGTTCTAAGCAACACAAAGTTGATTTTTGAACATCGTCAACCCGCTAATGAAAATAACTTTGCAAGGATGATTGATGGGTGTGCCGGTCATGCTTTCGACAATTAGAGAGAAAAGAGGTGGACTTAGTCTCTTTAAGGAAATTAAAAGAGGCCAAAAACAAGATGACAGGTGAAGCATATTTTTCTGCTAAAAGGATGAAGTTCAGGAGGAAGTTTACTCCAAGGTCCAATAATAAACAGCGGCCAAAGCCACCAACACCAACACAAGCCAATAAATCCAGAGAAACCACCGCTTGCTGACTCTCCCTACCTCCAGCGTAGCCATGTTTGTAATGCCCCACCAAGGCCCTTCTGACTGTCATCATTCCTAGATGTCCCGCCCCAAAAAACACTGCTGGCATTTCATTGGTGTGACTCGGTTGTTGGTTGTTACAAGGCGGATCTATTAGCGGGAGTCTTTCAAGATGGATTTGTTGTGACACTGAACTCAGATCTCGCAACAATCCACCTTGCAGCGCAAGGTTATGTGATTGGCTCTTCTAGAGGAAATCCCGCCTCTTGAGACAGTCCGGTTTTCTTTCAAGTTGCGCTTCATAATGCGAGCAAAGCATCTTCAGGCTAACTGCTGGACTGGTTCAGACTGTGATACTGGAATAATTGAACAGGACTTTCATAATCTTAGGACCCCAGTACATAAAGACTTGTTTAATTTTTTGTGTAATGAATAAATGTAAATTAAGCATAACGTAATTCATTTTAATTAACTTTATACTTTATAACTTTGTTTTTTAAATGTCCATGACCTTAACTTTTAAATGCCTGTGATTTTATATAATTCTCAGGTGTATTCTAGATTTAGACAAGACTATTCATATGAGCTGAAATTAACTAAGAGAAATTATAGACATAATTTAGGAAAACGTAATAATTGTATGTGTAGTGATTAATAACTAATATTAGCAAACAGTTTATGATTTATGCCTTTTGCATTGAATTGAATTGAACTGAATTAGGGTCAAAATAAAAATGAAATATAAAGTATGATGTCTTCAGCCCTTTTTATGACCACCTTTAAAACTATAGAAGGCAGGAGAGGAGTCAGGTTCTGACCAATCAAATTAAGGGGGATAAATTAAAAAGTATCTGGGTCAAGTGAAGAGACGAATCTCAAGACAAAAACGCTTTAAATACATTTCACAGTTTAGCTTTCACTCAATGGCTCTCCCTGGTGCTCTTTAGTTAATCGTTTTTATAGTCTGGGATCAAGGGTCCTATATCTTAACCTCTTCATCATAGTGATTGTCCTGTTACTGCTAAAAGAGGTAAATGGTGTTTGGGAAGCTGGTCATGCTGGATTTCTTGTTCCTGCTTGATAGTTCTGCTGTCTACTCCTTCACACAGAGTGAGTGAACACATTCAGAAGTTTACTGAGAGCTCTTTTGTCTAAAAGCTTCCCAGTTTATCCGTTTAGACCGCGTGGGCTGCAGAAAGACAAAAGGAAGTGTGGCTGATATGTCACCATTCACATGCTGTTACATCTAAGGGAAAATTAATGTCTTTAGGACACCTGGCGCCAATTCCGTGACTGTCTGCTTCTCCCAGGCTCATTTCTGACTGAGAACAGAAAGACCTTGGAGTACAAAGACAACAGACTTGATTATGTGAGTACACAGGAAGGTCTCCAAACATTGTCGTGCTAATCACGTTAGTGGGCACAGAGTCGAGGCAGGACAGATGCTTGGCAAAGGGCAATAGGGTTATGTTGTGCTGATTAGAGGAGGCTTGCGGAGGGAAGGAGGGCTTTGAATCTCGTCTCCTACAGTACCTCGGCGTCACCTTGCAGAGGTATATTTTGTCTGTCACTTTCCTCTTCCTGCTCAGTCTGTCACTTCTTCCTCATCTCTCACCCAATGTCTGTATTCAAGAGCCAGCGCCTTATTGAGAAGCGATTTTTGTCCCGTCGTTCTGCAGCCAGCTTTCATTCTCCCTTTAGTCAACCGCCGACTTTGCAGTCAGTTGTCAGCTGATGGTTTCCATTTTTCTCTTAGTGATTTACTGCTAAAGGGTTTTAAACACAAATTTACTGCAGGGTGGTGTTTGGTTTTGTTTGCAGAAGGAAAAAAAAGCCAGGATGGCTCATTTGCAAACCTCTTTCAATTATATTGAAGTCAAAGAACAGCTGAGCCAATATTAGCAATGGAAGTGTTCACAGAATGAACTTTGATGGTCAAACACTTCTAGATAATTCATATCATAGAAATTGTTTGTGTCAAACTCTTGAGGTACAGTTGTAAAGCTCACAGATGAACAGACCATCTGTCCACAAGAAAATCAGCCATTAGAGATAACACCAAAGATTTTGACTGCCTTTATTTGTCATTAAAAATTATCTACAAAGAAGTTAACTTGCTGACTTTTTTTTTTACTTTTTCAAGTCATGCTTCCTTTTGGCAACTACAAGAATATTAGCATTTTTTCAGTTTGCAATGAAGTTCATTCTAATATAACAAAAGTATTTGGGATAAAAACAACTTGACCAAACAACCTTTCTTAAATTTGTGAAGAATATACGACTTTTTGAAACCATTGGTAACAGCATTAACATTAATGCATTGTATTTGGAATTTATGCTGATATAATGATATAAAGTTATACACAATTTAGAGTAGAAGATAATATTTTCAAGGTTAAGTAGAACATCATAAAGACCAAGAAAAACATATAGAATTACTTTTCTGAAAATGTTTACAGAAGGGTTAGATAATAAAGCAACATCTCAAAGACCACTGTTACCTTCAGGATCTGTTCAATATGGCAAAGCAGAGAAATTCAGAAAGCTTTATAGAATGTTGCCCTTCTTGTGTCAATCGCCACAAATTCAGAGTTGATTTTTTTATATAAAAAATAAAGTATTAAGTTCCCTCGACAGAGATACTTTCCATTGTATTCAGAATATAATACAATCGCTTTGACAGCCACATTATGTATTCACACCTTCTCACAATTCATTTACGTCTCCTGGTCTCTTTTAGGATCCTACATGTTGGTGAACTCTTCTCAGCATGCTGCCGGCCATCGAGCGCAGCTGCTGCTGCAGACGCTAAGTGAAAACGACACACACTGCGTCCAGTTCAGTTACTTCCTGTACAGCCGAGATGGTCACAGTCCCGGGGCCCTGCGAGCATACGTGCGAGTGAATGGTGGTCCACTTGGAAGTCCGGTGTGGAACACCTCAGGGTCTCATGGCAAACAGTGGCACCAGGTGGAGCTGGCAGTAAGCACCTTCTGGCCCAGTGAATACCAGGTATGAAGTTTGTGGCTTTTTTAAATGATGAATAGCTGACATTTCTCTGGGCTTAGATTGGTCATTGACTAAACATATGCAGACCTAGTGACCAGAATCATGTAGAGCTGAATAATATAACATGCTAAAGCTCTCTTGATCACTTCTTATTTTAGCCTCAAGGTGAAACTCATGTTAATTACTTGCATTTGCAATTTAATTAGCAGTGATTCCCCTGCGAATACAGTCATTGTTAACGCTTGAGGTCCCTAAGCAGATGTGACATGGGAATCTCTGGTAAAGATTGTGCCCAGCTGCATCTAACCATCTGCATGGCATGTCATCACGTACTGTTCTCAGACCCAGACTACCATGCTTTGTGGGTGTCTGATGTGGCGGTAGATAACTTGGGTATGTGAGCGGGAGGGTTATCCATTTATTAATCCAATTTCTTCTTTCTGCAAACTCTGCTAAGCTGTCAGAAAGCTATTAAGGTTGAGTTACATGCATTTTATCAAGAACTGTCAATCCCCCTGACTTAATTAAATTCAATTCAGCCAAGTATGTTGTGACCTTGACTATGTAAATAGTAGTCCTCAGCACTGTATGTACCTGGGGGCAGAAGCATTTGAAAGCTTTTCAGCCAGCATCATCCAATCTTAATTCAACTGCTGTAAATAGCAAGGGACATGATCCGGCCTTAAGCATGCCTTGGTCTTCACAGGGATATGTTCTTCTGGACTTTTTTTGCATTATTATGTTTAAGACATTTACAACAATGTCTGATTGCACTTAAGAAGTCTTAGAAATGTTGCTAAGTTTATACAACACCCTCCAAACTTTGGCCCATGTGATGAGGATTTGTAGAAAAAGTCAAAGTAAATTTATTTCATCTGTTGTCGGTAAAAGATTAATATTTTTAAGTAGGAGAACACTTTTTCAGTCGAGTTAAAATTTCATATTATGAAACCGTTTTTCACAAGATCGCCAGGGGCATGATTGGATGCACTTCTACAATGATTAAAATTATATATCACTGAAGTTTCTTTATTTATATTTTCAGGTAATCCAAATGAAGAGAAACTGCTCATTAGTATTCTGTTATTATTATGTGTCCCTAGGACATAAACATGGAGGTTTTATTGAGAATAAAAAGTCAAACACCAAAGAGCATATTCTTTAAACTTTTGAGTACCGTACTTAGAGTCAGTGAAAAAACAGGAAAACAAAGCTGGAAACCGTGCCAATTTGCAAAGATAATATCCTGAATTTATCTGGTCACCACTCATAGTGAGGATGATGAAAAACATTCTTCATAGCTCGCTGTTGGAAAACCACGGCAAATATTGGTGTGTTGGGGGCAAAAAGTTCCATAAGAACCATTAGAGGCAAGCTACATGATAACTAGCTCTTTGGGAGGCTAGCCATATAAAACTCCATTCTGAACCATCAGATATATAAACATTTAAAGTTTAATAATAATAATAATTGAACTTTATTGATCTCATACTGGAGAAATTCACCACTGCATTTAATCCATCCCCATGGGGAGCAGTGGGCTGCCATTGTGTGGCGCCCGGGAAGCCGTGTGGGTTAAGGGTCTTGCTCAGGGACCCAGAGTGCAGGCTGTGGGGATCAAACCACTTGCAACTTTCTCAGAACACAAGCGGACTGTTCTAACCACTAGACCAACACTCCCTTCCTAAATATACAGACATTGTTTTAGACAGATATGACTAAGATTTAGTTTTCTTGGCGACAAATGTCCCAGAATGAGTAAGTTGTGATAAACTTAACACATAAAAGCAACCTTTAAGTAGCTACAGTACGTTTGTGATGTTGTTAGCCTTTTGCTAACAATGAAACATTATAGGCTGAATGATCTACAGAGACCATGCAAAGAAAAATTCTGCCATATACCTTAAACCATGTGGGATATTAAAATAAAAAAGGAAATATTATCAAATGTAATGGAATAATACACATAGCTCTCATTGTTAAAATTAATAAGTGTATAGCTTTAATCGCACGTGTATATTCTGATAGAGCAATTTTACCTAAAAGTGAATAAGCAGATTAGGAGGAAATGACAGGAAGAAAAATTGAAAGCAAACAAACTGAATAAGTTTTCACTTCCAAGGAACAGCCACTGGAGCATGATGTAAGACTGCTGGAAGAGAAACACATGTGGAGACATGCTGACTGTATTGTAAACTGATACCAATCAACATTCCAATATGTTTACTTTCTTTAACCTTTTCCATGTTTTCCAACCAAACCGGTTGACTGTTTTTTTTTTCTGTAATTTAATCCTTTCTTATTCAACAATAGCATCTAATGAAGCTTTGTGGAAATGTTCTGAAGTTTATCGGGACAACGTTTAGTAAAACAGAATTATGTAAGCAATATAATGTTCCTGCAGGCTAGTTTGCCTCCTCTGACTGACACACATAGTTATTAGCTATTTCTGATTAGCTGTTATGGAGCCAAGCACCTGTAATTGTTTGTGAGGGTGCACTTGTGCATGTAAAGTTTATCCATAGAAAAAATGCTCAATAGTGGTTGTGGAGAGCCGAAGAGGCGCACCCCCCAGAGCACTGAGTCCAGCGCCGGGAGATAATAGCGTGTTTAAGAAAAACGCCAGATACAGCACTGGGACTTGATCAACAGCCAATACTGTACCGTGACGTCACAAACCGGTAGGTGGCAGTAGTGTTCTTTGACAAACATGGATACCTCCAGTAAAGCACAGTCAAATGAAATTACTCTTAATTAAAAACACTTATAATTTATTGAACAGTACTGTATGTAATAATTTCATATTTAAAGTATTTTCAGAAGTTCAAATTCTGAATATGACCGGACTTTTCCTTTAAATAATCTGTACTATATGTTTAAAAGTACAGTCACTCCAAACATACAAATTATTAACAGCAGCTTGCTTTAGTTCAGGCCCCTGGCCAGCAGTGTCCAGTAACAAGGAGGGGAGGGGCAACACCAGGCTGCTCTATATTCCATACAGCTAGAGAAAAGTCAAGGCTCTCCTACAATTTCTATTACATGAAAACAAGAGTTTTTCATAACCTGGCTCAAATAACATCATTCAGCTGACATAGAATAACCTAGAAAATTATTGAAAGTAAAAGTATGCTCTAGCTTTTGGGGTAAGTTAAATATGTATTAAAGGGTTTAGAATGTTGTGTTCTGTTGGTAGCTTTTGGATTTTAAAGCTTGTTCCTGGAAATTGTCCCTCATAGAATGTCGTCCTAAATATAAATATAAACTAAAGCTGTAAATGTATTGCATAGGAACATAAATTATAACATTAAAACCGATGCTTTTTGTATAAATTGTTACTCTAAAGTCCTCTTAATGTATATATATATATATATATATATATATATATATATATATATATANTATATATATATATATATATATATATATATATATATATATATATATATATATATATATATATATATATATATATTCCCTGTGTCTCTGGAGTGGTCCACTGTGTGATCTTTCCAAAAAAGACTCACTGATTCTCATTGCCCACCACTTTGTTCTGTGAACCAATGTAGTAGAAATGTCATAAATACGCTGATCAAACTTCCTAAGCTGCTTTGTTCTTTCTGTCCAAGTGGCCCCATTTTCTTTTACTCTCTGTGGATTTGGGTGCTTATTCACATCACAGTAAACAGTGATCCTTATACAGTACAGCGGTATTCATAGCCCTTGAACTTTTCACATTTTGTCATGTTACTATGTTTGACTAGAGCACCCCTATGTTGCTGTGTCCCTGTATGGCTTATTCCCAGCTGTTTCTTAGATTTCATGATGTTATTTTTCCCTTCACTAATGTAATCAGTGAACTTTTCAGGTTTTCACAGAGTATTTGTACCTTTACTGTATTAAAATTACACTCAGGTTTGACTCTATTTACTTATTAGGTGACTCCCCAGAATGCTTTACTTTTTGTGAATGTGGAAATGTGGATATTTGTGTTAAATCTTATGATGAGCGGAAGCACAAAGCAGAATCATGGTTCAAATAGGCTGATGAGGAGGAGGAGAAAGAAGAAGACTGACCGATAAATTGGTATTGACTATAGAGTCTTTTAATAGAACGGCTTAAAAAGGTAATAGTCTGGCTTTTATCTCATGTTGTGGAAAACATGCTGTTTAAATTGATTGGATTAAATTTCTTAATATTGGGGATTTGATATCAAGAATTGGCAACATTAGTGCAAATGTATCCTAATGTGATACCGGTGGGATTACATGTCAGTTTCACTCGGCTGACCTCATATTGCTTTTGAGCACAAAGGGAGCAAAACAAGCTGCCCCTGCAAAGGCACGTATACCATGGCTTACATTGCTAATCCCTCAGCAGTCAAAAGACCTCATCACTGTGGAATGACAGTGAGGCTCGTCTTGCCACTGCTTTCCTCTGCACAGACAAAACAGATGAAAGAGAATAAGGTTGGATGTTTCTTTAGTGCTGGGCATCCCCTCGCTTTAACCCATAAACGACATGTAGTCAAAAGATGAATAGAACAAATATCTTAAAGCCTGCTTCGCTTCAGAGCTTCAAAACGATTCCTTTAAAAGAGTTTACTGCAATTCTGATTTAATTATTTGAGCTGGCATTCACTTGACTTTACTTTAGTTTTGGTAAATTATCCAACATTTAACACAGGAAACAGGAAAAGAAACAACAATAAACAAACAAACCCACAATTTACCAAAAAAGGAAAAGGCTGAAGCAAAGCTTATTCTTGCCTAACCTGTTTTATACTTACAGCATTTACTACCTACCAGGCTCTTCATAGTACATATATAAATATTCCAATCTACATAACAACATAGGATTTTATCATTTTACATTTTAAAGCTCTTTTAAATATCACCAAGAAAATTACTTGAAATTAGCATTCAATTCATTCCACAGTTTTACACCAATAACTGAAACACACCTGGACTTTATCTTGCTCTTTTCTTTTGCACATTCAAATA